ATCAATCAGAATAACTCACAACAACACATTGATTTGCAGTGACCCTCTCTTCTAAAGAGACTTATTTTATTTCCTAACTTAATTTAGTGTCTCCCAACTCATTACAAAACATCCTTCCCTCTCTTGCGGGGCATATAATTACAGATGAGGTTTGTCAACATAAAATTTGAATTCACTTTTTTAGCAGTTGCTTTCTCCTTTTTTCGTCATTTATCAAGAAAACACTGGAATCTTTGTCTTGTTTTTCAGACGGCTTGCTGCTTTCCTCGGCCTTATATCTTTGGAGTCTTTTTTTTTTTCCCACTAAGTGAAAATACTTAGTAGCTCCCCTCCCACTTCTTGTTTTTGATAGAAGTGGAGGCCAAGTGATGATCTAGGTTGCCTAAAATGAACTTTGTTAGTGGAGCCAATCTAGTACGTGTTCTCCTCCACATTCCCCTCCATCTTCATCCCTCTGTCCCTCAGCAGTGGAGTGGTCAGGCCTATCAACCGCAGAGCCTCACCTGGGAGCCCCAATTGCCTGCCAGTCATCAGATAAAATGGATTTCCAATTGAGTCAAGGCTCCCAGGCTGGGTGCGGAGTGGGGAACAGCCTGACTCTGCTCTCCTACCTCTCCTGACTTTTTGTTGTTATTTATTTCTATCTCCTACAGTGGTCAGCCCCGGTCTCTCTTCTCCTCTCTTCAGTCCCTTCACTCTGCCTCTTTAATCTTCTAGCCGGAGCCACATGAACTGAAAATAGGCTCACTGTAACAGCCCGTAACCATAACCAAGGCACTAGCTGGTCAAAAGTCTGAAAGAACCTCAGCAAGTCTTCATAGTCGGTGACTACTTTAATTTAGAAGGTGTCTTCAATTAGAGCAGGGGTCTCAAACGTAAATGAGCTGTGAGCCACTGCTGGCACTGTCATCTCATTCAAAGGCCACTTTAGTGTTCAAGTAGGACAAAACAAACAAGAAAACACCCTCAAATATTTCCAAAAATGTTGTTTTGTTTTTATAAATTTCAAATATTGTATAACAAGACAAAACTGCAAACATGAACACAATCTTTGTTTCTTCTCACTCTTAACTAACTGAAGCCTTTCACTGAACTACCACATAAAAACACTGGAACTCTCCTATTGGCCAGACATGTGGCAGCACTTGTTATAAGTTTATTCATATTTAACAGAATAAAAATAAGTTATAAGTGTTTTGTTTACAAATAACTCTCTCACTGAACTAACACAGCCAATCCCTCAACATGTAAGTGCTCTCTGCTCATATTGTTTTCATATTAAATCATTTTTTACTTTTTAAAAGAACTAATTTAACATTGTTCTTAACAACAAACAAATCCTCGCTAACAAAAAAAGGTTCAAGGGTCAAATTTCATTAGATTTCTTTACGTCAATATACAGGCCACAAGCAGGGGTGACATGGGCCACAAGTGGCGAGTTTGAGACCCCCTAGATTAGAGCAACAGGTGGGAAATCCATTAGTTACTTTTTGCTCGTTAGTACAGTAGATGTGGAAAAATACAGTTTTCAGAACTGCTCAGAGGGCTAATTAATCTGTTTAATAATTTGTTGTGTGTAAACTTTGTCATACTACACAGGCCACATGCAGCCTGCTTTCAGCTTGAGTGAGCCTGACCGGTGACATCTCCTCTCTGAAGTTTAGCTACATATCTAATCCCCGAGATTCTTAAAGTGAAGAAGGGGGGGTCATTTCAACATCACATCTTAGTTTTTCTGCATTGTGTAAAAATGCTGTAAATGAAAGGAGTTTGTCAGCGTGACTTTCTTTCGCTGTAATAATTGTGTCAAATTCTAGAGAAAGTCCCTGTAGTTCCCGGCCCAGACCGTCTCGTAATCATAAAACAACGTTTTTATTAATTCACAGAAAATATTTAACTGTGGAAAACAATAAAAAAAACAATAACGAATGAATGGTAATCGGGAAGAAATGTTTTAACAGTTATGAAACACTGGTAAACGTCCAAATGTTTGCCCCCCTTCACATTTTCCAAAGCTGTCAAGTGAGCTGGATCGAAATCCAGGCGGATTTTGGCTCCCTGCTTTAAACACTCACAAGACTCTGACAACAGAGTCCATCTGCTTTGAGAATTTAAATCGTACAAAAGAAAAATGATCAGGTGAACTTGATCCTGGAATGTAAAAGATCCCATGTCAATGTTTTAAAGCCATAATACAGGTTCATTTGTTAGCTGGTTTGCAAAGGTGCCGTTCAGCATGCTGTACATTTCTAACTAGAGTTCTTGTCTCTCTTATAAGGGTTTTTCATTTTCTTTGTCATTTTCGATGTACAGATTGTAATTGTGTCCTATCATTTTTCTGTTTTGCGTATCCAACTCACTCTTGTTTTCTTTCATGGTCAAGACTCTTTTCATGTCTGTTACTTTTCAGCGAGCGAGCCAGTATTAGATTTCTTCTTCACTAAGGTAAACAACAGGAGAGGAGATACGCCTTCATGGCTTACATTATTATAAATGAACACAAACTACTCGTGTGAGCAAAAGTGTATAGAGGAGAATGAAGAGACACTGGAAGGACAAAAAAAAAAAATCAGTGAAATAGAAGAGTCGAGGAAAGTGACAGAAGAATTGAAAGGGAATGGGAGATGAGGAGACTAAACCAGAGGCATCAGATGAGAGGACAAAAGAGGGGAGTCATATTGATCACACTGCTCTGTAAGTCTCTCTGTGGTTATAATGGTTTGAGTTTCACAGCTGGAGTCAACTCTGCAGTGCTTAGAACAGATACCACGTGCTCTCAGCACACACATGCACATATAGCACATCCATATACGCAGTGTGTCTAGCAGGCGGCTTCAGGTCAATGCGCCCCCAGCTCTCAGTCAATTGAGCTCGTTGCATCGTTCCACTTGGGCTAACCCTCCTCCCTGCTGCTGTCTAGTCTTTGAGGCCAAGTGGGGCAGAGTTGGATCAATTTTTTTTTTGACTTGGAATCCAAAGCAAATTTGCAAGAGATCCATTTTACGATAAAGAACCTTGGGTTAAAAACAGATTTTTTTTCTTATAGATGATTTCTGATCATAGAACTAAGCTTAATGGGCAGTTTGAGTTGAAATATATGAGAGGATCAGGACAAGTTATTGCTGTTCATTTTTAAGGGAACATCCATGTAGCGAGAGACATGTAAAGTCTGTTTGGGGCCTTTAGCTAAAAAATAAATAAATAAACAAAGGTAAACACCTGTTTCTGTTTCCAACACAACATTCTGTCACAGTTTGTATTGTCTGTACATGTAGCGTTGCGTAGTTGTTGCCATTTTTGTGTGACCTCAATAAATCCAGGGGAGTACTAATCATGCCCTGTCCACAGAATTTACATGAAAAAACGAAAATTTCAGTCAGCTACAAAAGTGCTCTTTGCAAACGCTCGACAAAATTTCACACGAGCTTGTGCTGCTGTCTTATGAATGCGTTACATGTGCTTCCTTGTACTTGATTGCTTCACATTTGCACTTGAAAAATAATCATAGTATATCTGATCCTCCATTTACAGCGAGTGTTGAACTTTCCTGTGGAAATGAGCTTATATAATAGCTAGGAGTCATCTCATTAGGTAATGTCTCTGTTTTCAAAGGAAAAGTTCTGAAAGACCTTCACATATGAGACCAATTATCTGTCCATTAGTTTTATACAATATAGCTGTATATATTTTTTAAAATGTATTACCTTAGCATTTCAAAAAGCTCCCTTCCAAAAGGTTGTAGAAACAGCTCTGTATGATGTCAGGGCTCAAGTCAAATTAGCGTGAGATTAGTTTAGTTTGTTGGTATCGCTCTTAGAATCACTGCGCCAGCAATTCAAGGTGTTAATTGATCGTTGCCATTTCACGTGAGGGCTCACAATCTGAGCGAACCCCTCTCATGGTACATAAGACAAGGTCGCTGGAATGATGGTGTCAGACGCGTCTTCTTTCCAGGACGATTTGTTGCTAGGGTTTCAAGGACCGCATTGATCTTAGGTTGAAGGATGAAGGTTGCACTCCGTGGATCAATTGCATGCAGCTGTTTTTAAATAGCAGGAAGGTACGCCTGATAGGCTGCGCATGCTGGAGCTTGGAGGTCATTTTGTTTGAAAGCTGCAACAACTGCAGCAGAAAAATGCTCGTACGACAGAGACTTTTTCTTGAAGGTTTTTTTTTTTTTCACAATTGTGAATCTAGTGACCAAAACTTTTTTTTTTTTTTTTTCCTTCATATTGATTTAGATGGACAAATGTTTGAAGGCCAGGACACTGACACCGTCATCCCTGTTTGGTTTTGTGCTGCTCATACAAATACTAAATACACAGTGTACTGATCAGCCACAACATTTAAACCACCTGCCTGAAATCGTCCCTTTAATGCCACACAAAGACTCCATCAGGGCATAGACCCAGCAGCTCTTGGGAGATTCTGTAGTATCTGGCATTGGGACATTGGCAACGCATCCTTTGGGCCCGGTGGGATACTTAATCGAATTCAGATCTGTGGTGGTTGGAGGCTGGGTCAGTGCCCAGGGCTCTTTGTAAAGTATTACCTGAGCAATTTGATAGGTGGAGTTTTTCTCCATGGGGCTGGATGTGTGTCCACAGTGTGTACAGTGTGTGTGTTCTTGGCCTACAACAACATTTAGTTGCAGTTTGTAAGTCTCAAAGTAGCATTCAAGGTGGTCAGTGATAGTCACTCCACTCGTCAGTTGTTTAAATGTTGTAGCGTCAATTTTTTAAAAAAAAAAAAATCTGACAAAATGATGACAGAATTTCTCATAAACCTCTTGAAGTTTCTTTTTATTTTTTGGGTTTGCTTATTTCCATTACCAGAGTAATCCCTAGTCTTACCCGCCTGACCTTTCTGCTGTGGTCAGTTAAAGGTGGCAGAGAATAAACAAAACGGGGACAACCCTTCCACCTAAGAACTCCTTCAAAGGTCAGCAGGCGTGGCTGCTGTGCAGATGGACTAATTCTCTGTTCTTTCTTCTCTCTCAGAACCTGCTGGTCAACCACGGATGAAGAGTGGGAGGAAAAGGGTAAAACCGTTACATGACGACAAGCTTTTACTTAAGCACTAATGGCAGCACTGTGGTCGCATCCTTGTTTTGCTTTATGAAAGAGATAGTTTGCAGTTAGCATGCCTTTTTTTTGTGCTATTTATCTGTGGTGTGATCCGTTACACTATTATTCTGCACTGCTACATACTACAGAGAAGTAAACAAGAAATGAGTGTGTATATTAGGCTCACGGGTTGAGGCGGTGCACTTTCAATTCAGTCATTTATGAGCGCTGTGATAAAGTATCTGCACTCTTCATGATTCCCCCTTTTTTTTTTTTGTTGGTGCATTTCTCACATTTACATGTTTTAGATCATCAGGCATAGATGACTGTTTACTCTTAATAAATGACATCATTTAAACTCTGACTAATATCAAAATTTGCCTGATGATGTGAAGCATGTAACTGTGCTACAAAATAAGAAATCAAGAAGGGGGCAGATGATTTTTGACAGCACTTGAATGAGATCAGTGGAAAATGTTTCTTAAAATCTGACTTGTAAAGATGCATTCAGGGGCACTCCTCCATCAGCTGAATGTGGAGATCAGGTTACGTCCAAACCCGTGCTAAATTTTGAAGGGTTAAAAAGACTGGAAGTCATATAAGAAGTGAGCTGAATCAGGTGCACAGGGACCGTCCTTGTTTTGATCTCAGATTGAAAGAAGAACTGACTCACTTGTTTTTCTTTTGAGCTTTATAGATTTGTATTTTTTTAATGACACAGGAATATGCTCAGGTAATCCTGGCCATGACTTTAATTCATCAGACCCGTGATGTATTATATGAGTTTATTAAACCATTCATATCCTCTCGCGGTTTTGTGTCTTTAGTTGTGTGTTTGTGTGCCTAATTCTGCCTTGCTTCCACTTTTAATAGCTGAGTGAATTTAATTTCACTGCAGTGGTTTATTCATTTCTCTAAAGAAATGCAAAAAAAGGAACCTTGGGATATTCTATATAGATGAAGCACCATCCATGATAATCTATTAAAACCTTTCTAAGTCGTTTTGAAGGTACGGTTCAACTCAGGCTCAGTTTGAAAATGAAATGCTGCCATTGAGCAAACAGTTCTGTGACTTTTAGTGACTTTTTTTTCTAATAAATCTGTTTGAAATCAGTTTAAGAGACTGTGAGCTGAAAAATAAAACCCATTAACCCCCATTACGGGTTAAAAAATAATGTCAAAAGCAGGTTTCCTCTCAAACATAACTCAAAACAGTGGAGATGAAGAGAGTCATGTTAATATTTATTGTCAAAGATCAGTGAGAAATATTGGCAAAAGTAGATCAATGTGCTTTGTTTTAAATTAAGAGTCTACCAGCTAATTTGTCTTTCTTTTTTCAAATTGTGATTTTTAAGGCCTCTCAAGCCTAGAGACCAGTTGGCAATCCCCCACCAATGTCTGGTCTCGAGTGGTCGCTGGGTTCTCACAGAACGGATGTAGCACCAAAACCCTCACACAGTTTGTGTGAAACATGCTAACTTGTCGCTGACCAGTCTCCAGGCCTGCATGAATGCGCTTATAGCAGTTGATTTTACAGCAACAGCTAGCAACCTCCAGAAACTTTTTGCCAGTGAATACAAATTCTTCCCTACCAGTAAGTGGTTGCCAACGATTCTCTAGGCCTGTGTAAGAGGAGCCTAAAGGCTTTTTAATCTGTGCTGTTTTTACGTGCCAAATGCCAATCAGCTGGCATGCAAACAGAGGTTTCTAAAGAAGATACAGAAACAAGTGGATACTTCCAAACGTTTTCACCCAAGTCACGTAAGAAATAAGAAACCGCTGTGAAGATTTTTTCCTGCTGCTACATGAATGGAAAGAAATATTGTAATTCCTGGTTTCATTGTTGTTGGTGGGGCCAGCCTCTCTCGCATTATACAGACTTCACATACTTGCAGAGTTACTGTTTTATTTTTTTATCTCATTGATATTACCCCACTGTGTCCTCTTACCTGTCTTAAAGTAGAATCAGATCCACACATAAGATGATTATTCTAGCTTTTACTGTTAAGGGCAATGCATTTTTAATTTGTACTGACTCGGTCAGCAGTGCACAGTTCCTCTATGTAGCAGCTCGTGCTCGTTTTTTGACAGAAAGCCAGTTTTATATATTTCAGGCAGTAAAGCAAAAAGGAGCTGCCACAGAGAGCACACTGCACCTGCTCATTAAGGGAGCTGACTTGTACTGTAAAGCTACTGATGTGTGCAGTATGAAATCAGATCACACAACAAAAGCTGATTATTGAGTGACTCTTTGATTTAAACTGAATGAATTTATTTTTGCCATACAGACACACCACTTACTCTTCTGCTGTGACGGGGCACGCTCAGTATTATCTGTACTACCTGTGCTATCAAACCCCACTTTGTGTTATTGCTGACTGAGCTGCAAAATAACAAATAGAAGCTTTCAAATGTCCCTAAAATGCTCTGCATTACTTTGCTTGAGCCCAGAGAAGATTTTCAGACTGTGTGACCTCCAGTACCACGTCCTGACTGTGAAGTTGTAAAATAGCAGCGCACAGCCTGCCACTTTTCCAGTCTTCATCCCAGTATAGGGAATGTTTCCTCTCATAAAAGTAGCAGATAAATGTATGTTGTTAAAACTAGAGCTGATATTGGCTATATACAAACTATATCGGCACTGGCTAATATATTGTCTAATATTAAAATTAGTTCATATTAAAACTAAGTAATCATCACCAGAGTGGACTCTACAATTTATCCACTGCAACGTGTTCAGAACGCAACAAACCAGCTGATCCGAGCAGAAAATCTAAACAACTAATCTGGTAAAGTTCATTTTTCAACTGCATTCTTATATTATCTTAGAAAGCACTTATAAATAATTGCACATAATAAATGTTTAGAAACTCTGCATGTTTCCTGTGTCTGAAAGAAAAAAATATCAGCCAATACGTCAGCCAGTGTTGGTAGTGGTTTGGTTACAGTTGTGTGATTAACATGAGACAACAGATGACAAAAAGAAGACACAATTATGCAGATGTTTGGGCATTTAATAAATAATGAAACCTCCTGCATGTCGTCATGTTTCAGGCTGTTTAGGTAAGGCTTGTAGGCGCACGTCAGGAGCATTTTTAGGAGGGACTGCTTTGCTTTTACTTTTTTCTTTTCTACCAAACGCCCATCCTCCCTGTAGCTGTCAGACTGCTTGACTGCACGATAGCACCTGTAGCACTGTAATCTGAATGCATTGCTCGTCTTTACTGAATCTTTATGAAGGAAAAAAATAAATCTTTTTGATTGCTTGAGGGCTTTATGGAAACCTCACTGTATGTGAAGAGATGCATTTTTGAATAAGTTGAAGCATGATGGGATTTTTATATTTCAGGGTAGCAAAATAGAATTTGACACCTGTTTTATTTAACAAAAATTCAGTTTAAAAAAAAATGAAATAAGAGGAAAGAGAGCTGTACGGACAGTGGTGCAACTTGTACAGCTGGGGATGTTCCCTTTGTCCTCTGAGGTGTGCAGTAATGCACTTGATTGACTTAATGTAACAAGTTTGACTCAAGTGGCTACATTTTCCCTCCTCGGGGTAATTCCTCCTGAGTTGTAGCTTTAAAATCTGTATTGAGGCTGCGGTAATTGGCTTGGAGCAGGAGTTAGGCTGACAACGGCTCTGCTGCTATGCACCTCACAGTCGAGGTGTTGCGCGCGCGCGCGCACACACACACACACACACACACACACACACATTTGGGCACTAGCGGCCAATCTTAATAAAAGAAATGACACGGTGGAGGAGGGAGGGTAGAAGATGCGGTCTCGCAGATGTTGCTACGGTAACAGCGGTGAGCAAGGGCTGGGAAGCTGCAAGGCAGCAAGTTAGAATGGAGAAGTGAGGGAGACGACAGTCGGCGCATTCAAATGCATCCTCGCTCTCTCCCCGTTGATCCCGTGTCATACCCAATTACCACTGCAGCGAGGGGAAGGGGGGGAGAGTGGGGGATGTACAGAGAATACGGGAGGAGAAAGCGGAGCGTTCAGGGGTCTGCTTGAACCTTTCACAAATTTTAAGAGATGGCGCACGTGCTCGTGCAGAGGTAAACACCCACACCTGTTGTTACACGTTTGCAAGGTTGTGGGGGGGAAACAGTGTGTTCATGAAAATAGAAGCATGTAGACTGCCAGCGCATCTCTGCATACACTACATACAGGCTTTCTTTTCTGCTGGCAATCCGCCATGAAATACAGACCTCCCAGTTCTAATTTGTTGAGTTCTGGCTGTGTGGGGTTTTTTTTGTCCTCCTAGAAGTCATCAGTGAAACTTAGGGTTCATCAAAATTTCGCTGCAGGGGGGAAATATCACACCTGAAGTGTGGGTCCTTTGATGTAGCCAGGCCTCACTTATTTAAATGTAAATACACTGTAAACTCTGGCCCCTTAGATAATAACCAAGGATGGGCTAGAACAATAACTCAACCTGGGAATTTGATTCAGTCCCAGGCCCCTCTGTTCAATATCTGTGGATGTAACAGGTATCAGGTTGGGAAGTTATCCTGATTACAGTGTGCAAAATGTGCTTTGACTTTAGGTGTAGCTTCGAAATCTCACTGAATCCAGTGATCCCAGCACAAGGCCACACACACAAAACCTTTAGCGGAAACACTTTTTGACACAAGACCAAGAAGTGCAAGGCGTTGTACAAATGTCAGAAGTATCAAAAGTAATAAAAAAAAAAAATTGCACACAGTCACTGAAACACAGCCTTGGCTACAGTTCGCGACCTCTGAAAGAAACTGCAGTTCCCCAAACGGCCACTCGGCATTAAATCATCACACAGAGTTGCATATTTAAAATGCACAGCGTGTTTTGTTCTCCAGAGCTAATGTCTCCCTTTATGACAGATGGATGGGGTTCTCTCTCTTTTTTACACAGCTGACCTGTTTAACTTGTATTAGAGCTATGCAAATTAAAGATGAGACCACTCTGAGGGACATGTGGGTACACTCTAACCTAGTTTTCATTGTCTTAAAACTAGAAACCCATTTAATATCACAGACACACCTCGCTAAGCTCATTAGCTAGCCAGTGGTAGATTTGGCTGTAGCTTCTAATCCATATGTATGACTACATCCAATTACAAGCAAAAAAAAGAGATAGCAATCCCCAAAATGTCAAACTCGAGGCTTGGAAGTGACATCACACGCTGGTTTGTGAGCCGCTGTCTGTGGTCGAGAGTTAGAACCACATCCTGAGAGGTCAGTCAGCTTTTTGCCGTTGCTGTATTATTGCTGTCATGATGCATGATGACCGTGTGGTAATAACACACTGCCTTTAGGGTTTGAGTTTATGATGCACTTAAGTGGTGTCATGTATTAATAATAATAATAAT